ATGTAAGAAAATGTTGGCCCCTTCCCACGACACGACGTTCTAGGAAAAATCTCAATTGTTCACCATTAAGGTAATACGAACCATATCCGCATCGTTTGAACAGCATAGGGTACTCGTCACCATCAATATCATATACTGTGACCTTCTGGCTCTGGATGCCTCGTTTACGAAATTCATCAGCCTCCAACAATGGCAAGATGTGGCTTTCCACGTCTTTTTTGTACATGTACAGCGTAGTTCGTGTCACATCACTATATGCCAACTGCTTCTCAAAACGCTTGCTGCACCTTGTGATCTTGTTCTGGAGGCTTGGGGGGACCTCAGGAGGGGCATGGCCTCCTTGTTCTACTTGTTGCGGTTGTTGAGGCAGAGGCATGTCCTGTGCTGCCAATGCCATGACTGCATGTTCTTGGGCTGCAGGTTCGTGAAACTGAGGTGAGACTTGGAGGCTCCAACTTTGTTCAAGTTCTTCTTGTTGTTCAGCCATGCCCTGTGCTGCAATGATTTCTTGGGCATGTTGGGTTCCACGTTCTTGTAATTGAGCAAATTCTTGGGGATAAGAAGGGACATACTTGTTAATTCCAGAGGAGGAGCTTTGTGCTAGTTGTGCTGGTGCAGCAACTTCAGTTTCTTGAAACTGACCAAACTCTTGGACGCCTTGGACTGATTGCGGATAATAAGAAGGGTTAATTCCAGAGGAAGAGCCTTGTTCTAGTTGTTTTGGTGCAGCAACTCCGGTTTCTTGAAACTGACCAAACTCTTGGAGGCCTTGGACTGATTGTTGATAACAAGGGTTAATTCCAGAGGAAGAGCCTTGTTCTAGTAGTTGTTCTGGTGCAGCAACTTGCTGTGGTTCAATTTCTTGAAACAGTGCTGCAAAATATTCATTTTCTTGCTGTGGTTCCATTTCCTGAAAAAGTGCTGCAAAATCTTCATTTTCTTGCTGTGGTTCCATTTCCTGAAGAAGTGCTGCAAAATCTTCATTTTCTTGCTGTGGTTCCATTTCCTGAAAAAGTGCTGCAAAATCTTCATTTTCTGGTGCAGCAACTTGCTGTGGTTGTTCTTGTGGAGCAATGGCTTCAACTCTAGTTTCTTGAAAAACTGATCTGAGATATTCTCGCATTTGTTGATTTGAAAGAATTTCTTCTTGCCTTTGCAATTCTCTTTCCGCATCTTCTGCATGCTCTACATTGGGAACAGCTGCTGGAACTTCATTTGGGGGGTCTTCATTATGATCATCAGCCATGCCTGATAGACTGATAGTGTTGTTTTCTTTCACAATGGTGCTTCTGATCGCAAGAGAAAAGTGTTTCTTTGAGAGATTAATTTGGTTCAAGAGAAATGGGAAATGGGAAATGGATTTTCTAGACAGTTCAAGAGATTTTTCTTGATCGAACCTTTTTTGCTTGATAATGGAGCCCAAATTACATATTAGTCTCTGGACTAAATCTGTTATAACTAACTAACAACCTGTATAATATACTTTGACTGAAGGAGACGATTACTGACTTGTAAATTTAACATCTTGCTGGGGTAAATATATTAATTACAGTAAACATAAGCCAGTTTGAGTTTTACGCTCTCAGAACATACGTACGAACAATAACGAAACCAAAAGCAATATATCTTTGTCATAATACTCCTAGCAAAATGAACACCTGCAACCTTCATGAATTCCTGCTTCCAAACCAGTCCAAGATCATGACAGAAAGTTTTCCAGCCTCCAATGAGGACATGAATCTTGGTGACCTAAGTCTTGAACACCATTCGGTACTCGTTGCCAGCCATAAGTTGTTACATGGATGCCTTCGTTAGGGTTTTCACCATATCTCAACAATGGCTTGATGTGATTTTTGACTTCTGTCAACCGTCTTTGTGAATCTTGACAATATTGACAGACCTATCTATTTTTTTATGGGTGAAGTGGAAGAACTCGTTCATAAAAAATAAAAAATAAAAAGTAGAAGAGCTCAACTAACTAAACTATATCTATATTAATTATATTAATTAATTAATCAAATAGTTTAATTATTTTTTCAACCCACAAAAAAAAAAAAAAAAATTACTACTGGAGTAGATTGTTACCAAGGCGTCATGCAGTAGGTAAGTGAACGTTCATTTTCCACTTACCCCTTGGCTTATTTTATTTTGTTTTCTTAAGAATCCCAATTTCACGTCGTCGTTTCGCTTCGCTCCATTTAGTTTTACATAATACCACCATCGAAGTAACAGAGTGGAGACAAAAAGAGAAATCAGATCAAAGCCAATGATCGGAGACGTTGAGAAGATGATCGCGGTGGGCCTCGTTTGGGGCGCCACAAACGCCCTAATGCGCCGCGGCGCTCTCCTCTGGGACCAAGCCCTCAAATCTTCCTCCTCGGCCCAGGCCCAGGCCCAGCCCGGCCGAATTCACCACAAGCTTCTCACTTCCCTCAAGAGCTGGCTCAAGCTCCTCTCAATCTGGCAGTACACAGTCCCCTTCTTCGTTAACCTCTCGGCCTCCGCTACTTTCTTCGCTATACTCAGCCACACCCCAATCTCCTTGGCCGTGCCAGTCACCAATGCGACGACGTTTGCCGCCACTGCCGTCTTTGGGTGGCTCTTGGGGGAACAGACCCATCTCGGCCTCGCTTTGTTCGGTACGGCTTTGATTGTTTTGGGAATTTGGCTTTGTATCACGTAATTGGGATTTCATCTTTTCTGATTGATTAGGTATCACTTCAATTTATGTTTTCTGTTTGTCGAAATTTTATGCGTAGCTAGCTTGTTTTGTTTTGATTATTGATGTTTGAGTGTTTGGCTGCTCAGAAAAGAGGGGAAAATCAACAGGAAATTTTGTCATTTTGTTGAAGAATGATACTTCGTTTTCTCCGAAAATTTATTGATTAAAGTAACTGAAATATAAGCAAAAGAACGAGACAAATGTGAACGAATGGTTAAGAAGAAGAATAAAAAAAAACACACACACACACACACACACTTTGTTTGAATTACAGTAGAATAAAACATAATCAAAAAGCTCAAACACAGAAAACCAAAAGAAAGTTGTTTCAGTTGTGAAGTGAAAGAAGAAAACTGGTTAAGGCTGCAGAATCATTCATCTGGTAGAAACGGGATTCGGGTCTCTTTATATAGCTTGATTGCGTAGCCTCAAATCAGAATTGTTGCATAAAACATTCTGGAGGTATCTGTCCAATGAACCTTTTAGTATCTTTGCAGTAGTCATAGATCATGAAGTTATCTCTGACCCACTGAAGCTGGCCCCGCTTAGCACTGCTCAGCTGGCTGTATATAGGGGAGGTCCACCAGTTTGCCGGGGAAGTGGTGCCGCATTGACTAATGCTGATGTCTCCGTTCCACTTGCAGGCTCTTGCCCTGAAGTTTCGGAATCTAGCCGTGAAGGGTGCACTGGTCCAATCTATCTTGACTAGCCCACCTCTAGTTGCCCAGTTATCAGCATTCCATAAGCTTGAGTAAACCCTCATCCCTTGCTTGTTGGGGTAAGCAATCCCCTGGTTTTCGTAGTTTCGGAAAACACGAATTGGTAGACTATCAACATACCACCTGAAATCATAAAAGAGAATTTGAGGTTTAGGAATCGTTTGGTTCCATGACTCATGGAACTAGTAGAAATATACTGTGAAATCAGGTTGAATGATTGTGGTAGTGAATCTATCATGTTTTTTCAGGATCTTAAGGGAGATAGGGGAACAATGAGCCTTTATTGGGGAAAAGCTTTTCAATTCAGAAGAGCAGTATGTATGCATGTGTGTCTCCAGTCAAACAGAAAAGAATGATTTTTCACCCTTTTGAGACTGCAAATGAAGGTGCCTCTACCGTAAGTTAACTTACACAATTTCAGTGGGGTTCCAATGTATGGTGTAGTTGTGGAAATCAGCAGTTGGGTCAAACCAGAGATAAAATTGCTGCTCTTTGCTTCCATTTCCTTGTGTATAGACGTTTGTGTGGACAATGTAAGGCTGTCCAGAAATGTTCCCTAAGAATTCAAAATCTATCTCATCATGTTTGGTTCCTGTTGAGGATAGCTGCACAAATTTGAGTATGGACAATTTGCACATGTTAATTTATTATGTAGGTCCTTGTTTAGTCGTCAATGGGAGGAGAAAATATTTGAACTTTATTTGGAAAAGTATGTGAAAGTGAGTTTTTCAACCCCTCCCCTGCTTGGGATCTTTTCATCCACGTTTCTATATTATCACCTTGAAAATAGCTGATTTGAATTAAGAATAATGAATCTGAGACACAAATTTTTAGGGTTTTTATGAAGTTTGTATCTTGCTCAAGTTAGTAACTTACATAGTAGGCTGTTACAGTCCCTGCGGAATTCCCAGGTACCAACTTAATGAGCATCTCAATGCTTCCGAATAAGAAGCCTCTCTTTGATTGAACAGCAGAACCTGCAAAGCAAAGGCAGAGTATTGTAGTCTGGTTAGAGGAGATAAACCGACCTCTGAATGACCTTTTATTCATTTTCTAGATATTTCATCCATGTATATATTCTAATGAATAGATGAGCTAAACAAATTTAGTGCAAAACATGTTGAATGCCATATCATGGATGGACTAACAGTTTATGAAACAAACTAATCTGCCTATCCGAAGATTTATGGATACGCACTGTATTTCAATCAACCTTTATCCTGCAACATCTTGATGATGCAGATAATCTCTGTTTCCTAGCTTATTTATTTGCTTTGCTTTGAAAAGCTATGCCTCTGATTAAGCGCCTGGATGGTTCTAACCTGAAAATGGATCCAGCACGAGGTTAAGATCCTCGCCACCATTGCCTTGAATTGTAGCATGCTGGGTGCCCCAGGTGATATACATACTCTTGGAAAATTTTGCATCAACCAAATTTTGATGAGACACAATGATGCATAGAGCAATCAGAAAAGCTTGCAATACTGCCATTTTCAACTTCAGTCACAACTAAACTTTGCTCTCTTGTTTTATAACAATTGAAACGGGAATGTCTTCTTGTTGGTTTATATATAAGTTGCCGCACTACAATAAATATATGCTTTCACCTACGACCTGATCATAGTCTCTGACCTTCCAATTTTTTTAATTTTTAGAAGAAAACATTTAATTTTAAGTATGCTCCAGTTAAATTGTAAATAATTTTATTTGATTAATAATAAGTTAAATGCTGTTTGGTACACGGGGTCGTGGTGTGGTGCCAATGTCATCTGCTGTATTTTTGTAAGAGCAGGAGAGAAAGGGTGTCAAGTTGTAAGTGGGGCTTAGCTGGGACGCGTTGTGATTCGGAGAGAGAGAAAGTCGTGCTTGGGACTAATTGTTTGTAGTAGGGTTGGCCAGCTGTGAGTTTGCTTAGACGTGCGGGCTTCGTAATCAAATAATATAGGTAAATGCTCTTAACTACTTGATTTATAAGCGTGTTTAAAAGACTTATTGACATTTTGTTGGATAATTTTACTTGAAAAAAAATCAAAGAATGTTGCATAAATCAATATGATACGTATAGAACAATGAATGTATATAATTGAAAGGTTTGCTTGGTGTATATACGTACATAAAACCCAAGAAGCAAGATGGTATGATCAAAGATGATTAATTAATTCATTCATTCATTCATTGATTGCTTGATTGTTGATGATGGACTTGGAGCTAGCTACAGCCCAAATTTAATTAAGAATCTGTACCCAGTGACCCACGCTAGGCACACCCCGATAGACCACAAAAACCAGGTAGTACCCTGGCGGAGCCAACACGTTTGTCGCCGGGGCCACCACCTGAAGCTTGTAAACCCCGGGGCCAGCTTCTGTGAGCTCATTTTTACCCAAAACAAGCAACCTCTGGTTCATCGAGTACCCGTGCGTCGTGAAGGGTGGCGAGTACATGGTGACCTTGATGTCCGCCTTGCCAACGGGGTTGTCTTGGAGCTGGAACTGGAGCGTGAACGGCTGCCCGTACTTCAACTTGGCGTCGGAGTTCTGAGCCATGACTGTGGGCCTGTGGGCTGCCAATGCCGGGTCCAGGTAAGGCGGCGAGAAGTGCTCGACTCTGAGTTCGGTTGGGTACTTGGCCTTGTAGTCGTAGCCTGGGTTGGTGTTGCTGCCTGCTACCAGGATTTTGCCGTTGGGGAGCAAGGCCGCCGTTGAGTGGTACATTCTGGCTATTTGGGTCGGGGCTAGGTTCCTGAACCGGGTGCCCGCGTTGTTGTTGGGACTGTAAACCACGGGAGTGAAATTGGGTTGCTCCGCCAGGAACCATGCGGATGCGCCTGTTGAAAAAAAAGGTGGTCAAATTGCTACATTTATTTAACCATGGTATTTATAGCATTCTCAAATAAAATGACTTTTTGTATCAAATCCTAATATTAGATTAGGTTATGATTATGATTCTTATCATACATAATTGAACACCTTGTAAATAATGTGCAAAAAAGCTAGGACGTACCTTGTTGGGCGCCGTTAATAATCAAGAGGTCTCCGGTGGGGAGGTTGAGCATATCTCCCATGACACGGCTAGAGGGCATGACTTCGGTGGCCCACTGTGGATTGGGGTCTGTGATCCTAAGCCTGCCGCAGTCTTGCAAGGCCGGAAGGAAGTTTCCTTTGCCTGCAAGACCATAAGCCTCGGGCTTTGCGCCACCGCAGACAATGACCTCAGCCGGGATGAGCGGAGCGTTGTTGGGGACGCTGAGGTCTATCGGCAGCAGGGCCGACATCCCTGATGCCGGGTAGTTTCTTGAACCGCCCTTCAACACTGGAAACTCCTTGATGACTCTGTTGGTCTTGGTGCTGAGCAGGACGGAGCGGCTGTTGGCGAGGATGAAGAGGTTGCCGTCGGTGGACAGGTGGACGAAAGGGTAGAGGTTGTTTTCGTCTAAGTCGGTGGTCTCGTCCAGGAGTGGGAAGAAAATGGCTTGTTTGTTGACTTGTCCTTCCGGCGGCACGTACTCAAAGCTGTATGACTTGCGACCACCCGCCAGGAAGAATCTTCCATCGGGTAGGGTCACCTGAGTTGCATACCTATGATCACAAATTAAACAACACATATTTTTAACAAAAGTTTGGAAACCCTAAACCAATTCTCGGTGCTCAAGAAATTAAACTCAGAATTGTCCAATATATACCATCTTGGTTCTGCCAACGCGTTTGGGAGATCCCTATAGTCACAATTTTCGCATAAATCGAAGTATCTAACACTTCTTGTTCCATCCATCCAGCCACCAGTGCTGATAAAGTTGCCATCAGCTGTAAGCCCTCCTGATGAGCACCATGGGTCTGTAGTGATCTGTTGAAGATCACCAAGGTCAGCTTTTGCTCATTATTGAAAACAGATTCATAATAAAGATAGAAAATTATCAATCTTTATTCATAATAAAGATAGAAAATTATCTCCAAGGTCAGCTTTTGATCACGAATGTGCATGGTGTTAAAATGCTCTATTGTTATATTGTCATACTATGAATATGGAGCATTGATTGATATGGCATTATAAGATCGGTATCGAACCTTGAGTGGCCTAACAGCATTGGTTTCAACATCATATTCAACCCCATGAGACCAACAATCTGTTTGCTGGACGCCCTTATCATCCTTGAAGGGAAGGCATTCTCCTCTGGGCAATTTGATGTTGGAAATATGAAAGGCTGAGGCATCGTACATCATGAGCTTGTTGTTTGGGAGCAAATTCAAGTGCATGGCTGACACACCTGCGTCCAATTTAACTACTTCCCATGCCCCCACGTATTGGGTTGGGAAGTCAGGCTGTGCAGGTGCATCCACCACTGCTTTGACGGGATTAGGCTTATTGCCGGCACCTTCGTCGGGCTTCGGTTGCCCGGGATTAGGCTGATTGCCGGCACCTTCGTCGGGCTTCGGTTGCCCGGGATCAGGCTGATTGCCGGCACCTTCCTCGGGCTTCGGTTCGGGATTAGGCTTATTGCCGGCATCTTCGTCGGCCTTTGGAATCATGTCGCGAGCTTTCCCAGGCTTAGCAACATTTCTTAAGCCGGCCTCAGCAGCCGCGGCGTCAGGATCACCCCCAACGGCAGCAGCTTCAGGATCACCCCCAACGGCAGCGTCAGGATCAACCCAAGCGGCGCCATGGCGATGGCCCCGGAGCCGGTTGTGATGGCCAAAGAGCCCGTCTGGTACGAGGAAAGGGTTGCCAAAAGGAACAGGAAATTGAGGGAAATGGACTAATTGTGCATTAATGCCATTGATGATGAAGAGAAGAGGAAGAAGGCAGAGAAGCTTGGTGTGCAAGTCAGCCATTGAAGAATCTGAATTTCTTCAATGACTCGTTGCCTGCTGGTGTGCTTCTCTAATATATTTTGCTTCCCTGCTTTTCCTCCCCATCTCTCTTTTATAATTTGGAAGTATCGCCACCAATCGGTTTTGGGGTTCTGCAAAAATAGCATTGTGCATCATGCATGGTTGTGAACCCTTGTTTGCAGGAACCCCTAAAGTAGCTAGCAACCAATCAAAGTATATACTGTCTCATATGAACGGGTTGTCACTCTTTTCTCATTTTGAAAACAAAACAACAAATAAACTTCGCACCAGTTCATTTTAGTGGTGTAAACGCCTGTGAAGGAGCCATTTCTAGCAAATGTCAATGGCAACCATACAAGAAAAATTAGATATTTTGGTAATTGCCCCTTGAACCCAATCGTAAAGGAAAATTCCAAAATATATCTAATTAATTTCCACCTCATATTGCATTTTAATATTTCGTGTTGATACCTTAATTTAAAGACATGATGTTAAACGATGCAATAAACAAAAAATTAAAAAAATTAAGATTATGTATGTAATTTTGCTCTTTTTGGACCCTGTGATTGTATCTAGACCGTGAATCCTTTAATTAAGATTATACTCTTGTTCTTGATTGTCACATTTGGGTTGGGTTGTGGACTGACTTTTTTTTGGTTGTGCACATCTTATGATATATTTTTTAAATAAAATATATTTTTCAACATAAAAAGGTACAAGAAAAAAAAAAACTCTATCGATGTGTGTATATATATGTAAGAGCATCCACAATGGACTCTCTAAACCACCTCCTTAGACAAATTTTAGGGAGGAATGATAAAAATGCAACTCCAACCACACTCCCTATCTGAGGAGGGAGAAAGGACTCATAGTGGCTTCCTATAATTTAATGCTGCTTTATTTGATGAGTATTTCAAACCTTTATTTAATGCTAACCATTTTTTATTTTATTTTTTAATAGGGATGGACCAATAAAAAAAGAGTTATAGCATTTATGACTCTCCAAATTAGGGAGTATGGTTGGAGTTGAAATTTTTTAGAGAGCTCCTAAAATAGCTTTATTATATTCTTAGCCAAATTTTAGCTAAAAAACAGAGAGCATCATTGTGGATGCTCTAAGTGCTATTAGAGAAGGGGAATTAATACCTAGAAAATGAGTGAATGATATTAATCACTTGAGCTACAAGTTTTTCGCTTTAATATGAATATTTTAACATCCATATTTAGACATACATTTCCTCCAACATAGTTAAGCGCCACGTGAAACGATTTTGTCGCCATCTTTTGGCCACGTATACAAGGATTTGGCTTCATTTGTCAACCTTCAACATAGTTTGGAGCTGCAAAGAGGGGAAGATGTCGAATTGCGTTAGGTTCGGATTTAGCTAGTGTGACACTATGAGTTTAGCCGATATAGCGTTATGACTCTCTTTGGGTTGCCCGGAGGATGTGGAGTGGTGGTCTTGCTTCTTAGTTTGTTTTAGTCTAATAATTTTTAGGAAGTTTTTATGAGTTTGTTGTGGTTTGTTTTCTATATTTTATTTATTTTTAGTTTTCGGCTTTTGATAAATATTTTTCATTATGTCGTTGCACTGTGAATTTGCAAGTCTGAACACATGTGCTTACGGTTGATGAATCATGGATTTTAGTCATTTTTTGGGTTGTGCATGTTTCTCTCATATCAATTCAACATGTTGTTGTATTTAGTCACTGAAGAATATTTACCCATATTTTACACCATATATAGTTGCTCTATACTTTTGTTTGTTCACCAATAATACCTATCACTTATTCTAAATAATAAAACAAAAGAAGATTCTTATTTCTAGAAGCTGCACAGTAATTACTTGAGGTGGTAATTTTGTAATTGAGAACAAAAAGCTGTCGGGGTCCAGTGAAATAACAAACAGCTCTAGATCTTGTCCTTATATTGAACCAGCCCTTTGCCGAGTATACGTACTGAGAGGATGGCTTTAATCATAATTTGTTGGTGGGTGATTATTTTGTAACTGTATAATTAAGAGTAAGACAGCTAATGCCCATTGGTTAAAGTAGCTTTTGGAACAGCTTCATTCAAAGGACGCAGGTTTGACCAAAAGGTCAACAATTACACGAGTTTTTTTTGCTCTTCACTTTCTGTTTTTGTTTTCTTTTGTTATTGACAAAACTCTGGGAGATATTCTGCTCAATGACTTTTTAGAAGCTATTAGCTATTTATAGTAATAATTCAGTACATTCTTAATTAATTAAGAAGCTTCTTAAACCAATTAACAAAACATATATATATATATACACAGTCCATTTCTATCGAGACATCGCAATTCTTAACGAATTTGTATCTGTGTGAATCTCTTTTGTAGGAGATGAATTAATGATTTTGTATGTGTGTAAAACAATATCCACCTTCATATCTATAAAATATTGTTTATTCCAAAAGCAATAAATTGATTATCAGTCAAATGGCTGTTACTGAGTTGAAATTACTTAGCCCTTTTTCAATTAGGTCCATACTACTGTTCGCCAAGATAAAGAAGGATTCCAGAGTACTCGATTTTGTGTCAACTAATCAAGATCTTTTCATTGATTGACATTAAAACAGTTGCTTCTTCCAGTATTTTTCACGTTACGTACAAGTGGAATCGTTGACAGCTAATTTAAACCTGTAAAAGTGATTGATGGATCTTAATATAGTGGTAACTGTCTATACTTGGTTGGAATGCAAGAACGATATATTTATAAAAAAAATTGATTCCTAGTTGTGATTAACCTATTGTAGTGGCATAACTTTGTTGTGGGGGTGTCGACCCATTATTATTTTTACTGACAAATTAAACGCTGGGAGATTATCCATTAACATTGAGATATATTTTTCAGTTTTCTTGAGAACCCTAGCTAATATAGATGCATGATTGTAAAATTGATAAAGGTCTTGAAGTTGTTCATGAGAAGAAACAATATGATTTGTCGCCATCATCATTGACACTGATACTATTAACTAGTCTGCTTGATTTGTTAATTATACCATATCACCAATAAACCTAGAAAGAATCGGGAACCTAATTAAGATCATGGAAGATCTGAAGCATTTACTAGAGCTAGATCATAATTACATAGCCCAATATACATGCACGAATTTGAAACCAAATTAAGATTACACTGTAATCAATTTATTTGCTAGGATTTTATATCAAGTTTGCTGTGCTATATTTGCTAGGATTAGAAGAAACAAAGAAGGTACGTATGCTACTTCTATAAATATAGTTGTTCTTCTTGGATAAGCACAATTTTCTTGATGTCAAATGATAATACATACCAAAATTAAGGATTTCAATTTAACCACAAAAGAATCTGGTTAAAAGGAAAACCACAAGAAATATAACAATATAATCTTCTAACTAAAATGTAGATACAATTTAGGTCGAGTATAAAACACAAGATTCGTTACTTATATTTTCTGTACTAATATTGCGCTTATGACCGAAAAAGAGTATTACTGTATATGAAAATAAATTATTCGATCCGAGATGCCAAAGCTGTCGTTCTTACTTTTACCTAACATCACTTTAATATCCACTTAGTAGAAGTTAATCAGTTTCCTTAGCACATTTTCTTTCTTAGTTAGATTCCGTCCTTTGTTTTTATCTTCTTTGCGAAAGTGTACTATTTGAACAGGAGGACTTAGAGAATATAATAAGACATGAAAGTTCTGCTATATATCTTTATGTATGGAAGAAATTGTAAAAGATCGACCTGGTATTTGATGGCAATTAACGATTTGAGAAGAAAATTTCATCATTGTATTATGCAGAAAAAGTCAATAAACTTGCATTACATGAGCTCTTTTCCACGTGAAAATGAAAGTGAAATTGTTGCAATTGCCTTGCCCAACTTGAAGCGCCATTTTGATCAGCTCGAAATTGCCAAGTAAAAGCATATTGTTCTAGTTGCGAACTCATATGCATGCACTCTACTTGTGTTGCAAGAAATCAAGAACACTTAAAGTGAGAGTCTGAGCTCCAAATCTAGCTCTTGAGTGTCACTTGATTCTGAGTTCTGACTGCTTGAACCCATCGAGCTACTTCTATGTTTTTTGCTCTTCTTGTGCTGAGAGTCCTATACGTAATAATGATAAGATCAAATCCAAAAATGGGATCAACATTATATATATATAGCAATGTGGAATTGATAGACTAATAGATTTGTTTTATTAATCAGACTGTCAAATTAGAATTATAGCATTTTTAATCGAAAAAGACACAAGTACACATTACCGCAAAAAGACTACATGATGCAAGACTCGTTAAAACCTTGCTTTGGGTGTTGTGCTACTCTTTTTCCTGGACTGAATTATATATATTTGACTAGTATAACGAGTGCTTACCTCTACTGGAGGCGGATTGAGAAGGTGTCTCGTCATGCTTGGTTGCACAAAATGTTGGGTGTCCAAGATGGCATTACTGTGGACGTCCCATCTGGTTTTTGAGAAATTTCACGAACGAAATTATTATTAGAAACAAATTGATTCAGGGAAAGAATTCCAGAAGGGTACTTCTTATATAGTGCAAGTATAAGTATATATATACGCACCTTGCTGTTGAACTAGGTGGGGAATTATCTCCACCATATACGATATTTGCTCTTTCATATTCACCAAGCCCCATCTGAAATAACCAGAGATTTTGAGGGGTTATTACTTAGAAACTCTACAAGATTCATTAAAACCCAGATCACAAAATTCCATTTCTTTTTGCTTAAGCATAATTTTTCAGAAAGAAGAGAAAAAGTGAGAGTGTCTCTTGTTAGCCAGGGATGACGATGAGGATTTGGATATCATCTAGCTAGGGTTGGAGCCAATTGACGAATAAAATTAAGAAATTAAATTCCTACATAAGAGAAGTCGATAACGATTAATTTGTCAATAGATTTCCATATGCAAATTAAGAAGTCTCCATTTCCAACTACACGGGAAAAGAAAAAAGAAGAGAAATATTGCTCCAATTGGGAAGAAATTATGTCAAATTGCAATCATTTGATGTTGTTGGTGATGATGATGGATGAAGTTGGATATGACTTCATGAACATTTATATATATCCACTTATATATATGTGCATGGTGACTCATCAACAAATTAGAGACCAAATTGAAAATCATGAAAACATGGGTAAAACCACAAACGTACCATGATGTTGGGGTGGAAACCATAAGAGAGTGAAGAAGATGTAGAGGATGAAGAAGAAGAGAAAGAGGATGAGGGTATTGATGAATAAGCTGTTTGCACTCTTGTCTCTTCCTGCATGTATAACATATATCATAAGTAATCACATCAAAACTCCATTAGATTTATAATTCTCTACAAATGAATTAACCCAATTATAAACTCAGAGAGAGAGAGAGAGAGAGAGAGAGAGAGAGAGAGAGAGTAGATACTTACGTTGGTGAAATTAGTGGAGTAGGGAGAGTGGAGGGAGGGGTGATAAGTGCAACCCAATTGGCCATGTAATCTGATCTTCTCCAATTGAGCCACTCCAAGCCCTCTCTGAGGTTGCTTTGGCTTGTCTGAATTACTCTTCTTTCCTTTCCTTGAAGATGAAGAAGAAGAAGACCCTCCTCCTCCATTTCCTCCTCCTCTTTGATCATTTCCCATGTTTGGCTCCCCAAAATAACTGCTCCCCATCTGATCAAATCTTCTTGATTTGTAATCTCCTTGTCTGATGCTCAAACTACTTGACAGAGAGACACAAAGAAGAAGAAGAAGAAGAAGAGATTTTGAGAGAGAGAGAGAGGGTTTTGCAAATCCCAAACTTTGTGGCAGCAGGCGCTGAGAAATCAGAGATCTCTCCAGTGCCCTTTTTAAGGTGTTTTGCTAAGGCAGTAATTATTGCATCGCTGGATCAGATTGTGTATAGATTCTAATGTTTTATATACTTAGATTTTATGCTCCTCCTCTTTTGCCTTAATTTCAGAACTTCTATAATTTCCTTTTTTTTAATGTTTTGATTTTGATAATTGCCATAATAATTACTTATCAAATATTTATTTTCCTTTGGATGTGGACTTTATAGACTGCCACTTGAAAGCGATTGTATATATGATTTCAACTCTTAAAATATTCTTTATTAATAATCAAAATTAATTTAAACTACCCCACCACGCGCTGTAGACCAGTTGCATATGTTACTAATTCATACTGCCTGCAAACTAATTTATTATAAACATTTTGCTTCCTTATATACGAGATGGTGGTGCCTCACTCACATCTTTTTTACAGTAGAACCTTTTACGATACGTATAAATAATCTGGTTGATATTTAATTGGTAATATCATATATAGAATTTGAACGCTCGACCACTTAGGGGCACACTAAAAACTTGGACCAATCCAATTATAACACCCGTTAGTATCAAATGAATAATATCATTTCTCCTTACTATGCAGGTTTAAGCCTAAGGTGGGTTCCACATTGCATGTGGTTTCCAGTTCCATGATCAAATTGTCTATAAGCTTAGCCGTACCCTAAAAGCCCCAGCTGTAACATTCTTTAAGCAACTTATTAAGAAAGGAAAACCAAATATTATAAAATATATATGTATATATATATTTTATATGACATTATGAAGCTTAGACCAAATCACTTTTAAATTATATAGATTCTATAAATCTTTTTGCAGCTTCATAGGGATTGCCCAAGTACTGATGAGGATTAAATGAAAATAAATCTTTAAGCATCTCAAGCAGCTTGCTAGCTGTGTAGATCCATCTTTATTTAATTAATCAAATTTCACCTTAATCTTTTCCATATATAAAACAGATTACTGTAAAATATATATTGCTCAAACTGTTAAAAAAATAAAATTAAGAATGGTAAATTTAAAATCAAGTTAAATATTGACCAAAATATCGTGAGAAATTCGATTAGATACGTTGTTGTGAATGGCTAAGGACCAAATCTAATTGAGCTGTTCCACGCATGATCTGTGGGTCATATTTTATGAGTTGTTGTGTGGTGGAAAGTGAGAATGCTCCATTTTCTTAAACACACATGTGAACTCGTGTAATTACCAAACAAACCTCGTATATTTCTCAAGGCATGTCATTAATCATCTGTTTAGGGCGAGGTTGACTAGTTTAATTAGGTCATAATATGAGTTTGCAAATTAGCTCCAATAGCCTGGAAATGACATTTATTGAACACTAGTGTCGACTTATATACAAGTAGGTATCGCCTTTATGGACAAGATATCTCACCCGAATTAAGCTCTGCGCCAATGCCAAGCGATAATTTGCAGTGAACCCTATTTCACCAAGCAAGTAGTTGCTTGATTTTGTAATCAACTTGATGATTACTTTGGATTAAACTTGGGAAGGAGGCAACGGTGTATCACTTTTATATAATTGGACGTTTAGATTAATTAAATATGCAAACATAAACAGCATGATGTTTTACTTGTAAAATAATACAAGCTTTTTTTTAAAAAAAATATTGGCCATCTAAAATAGCAAGTAATCTTTCTGTTGAGTTTAAGTTTGTTCAAGTTCATAAACTCTATGAGTTTTTTTCTTTCATGATTTCAGAAACTTATTTCAGTTTGTTGGGTGTTCTTAGTCTCTCTAAGAGAGACATGCCAGTTAGCAGCTAGTTTTGTCATTAATGTCATTGAACTAGATTCAAGGAAATTATGGCGGTCGAAATGGGTTAAAGAAAAATTATTTTCGAAAGTGATTCTTTTCATATCGTTTTAGCTTTTTGATTGGCTCAGGTCACTGGGGAAATTTTACTCATGTCTATCATATTGTTATTGAGTTTACACCCTTACAGTCTATATTCTTTGTACTCTTTATTTATATTGATCTAATAAAATTAATTATATCGCCTTTTTATAAAATAGAAGATTACAAGCCAAAGTCATGCTAATTTCTATGGTCAAATTATGGAACCCGAATTCATATTGTAATGGAAAGTGTCTATATTTGGTTTTGTACAAAGAAAGAATCGTATATATAATCAAATAAAACTACACGATATTGACAAAGAACACCTTGTGCCGTTCAAATCCGACAATTCATTGCTCCTTTTCTTATATTCTTTTTTGTGGTGTTCATGCAACGATTTGGAAACCATATCCATTTATAAAATATATTCGATAACCGATGCTTCAAGCTACCTGTGAAAATCTTATTAATTCTTTTTTGGTCTGAAAAAAATGCATTAATTCTTAAAAACGTTAATATAATATTATACAAAGATATATTTAAATGTAGTAGCATTACTAAGTAGACTATATGATTCAACTGCGGCTGAGTAAATTATAAAATCCAGGTCGTGAATCATATGATTAAAAACAATTATTTGTACAAACACCATGTAATTAAATTGGTTTTGTATTCCTATGTTGTGTGGAGATGGTGTGATTTCTGGGGGTGGCCTCTATTAATATCATGCCATGTGTATCGTAGTCATGAGGCACTGACGTACGTAATGTTTCTTACTTCATGATAGTGATAACATAAATTATTTACTACACATACATAGCCCTAGGCCATTGACAACGACATTAAATTATATATAGTTTTAGTCACACACAGTAGGAAAAAGAAATTTCATAGTTTACTAGATTTTAACTTTTGCAAAGTGGTCATGTCATCCCCAACGAGACTAGGGTCTGTTTTGAAGTGCTTTTATATAAAATGTCTCGTTGAAAATTTAAGTAATTTCTTTATATACGTAACGGTGTGTTTATACTTATACAATGACTAAAAACACTTCAAAATTTGTTTTAAACACTCTCCAACAGAAAGTAACACATCCTAAATTGGATAAAATTTTGGTGCTTTAAATCTAATTAGGAGGAAACGGGGAATATATATACATATTATCTTATGTTAATTGGTTTTGATTTGATGATAAGCGATGGAGTTTAGCATAGTAATAGAATAACAATAACGATAATGAGAATGAAAGACAAATGGAAGTGGAGAGAGATGCAGGGAATATATGATCTATATATCTATTGTAGATTTGCAGGCACATGCAAAAATACAGAGTGGATTACTCCGCAAGATTTACAATGCAAAGCAAAGCAAAAAAAGAAAAAGAAAAGAGAGACATGAAATGAAAACAAATATCCTCGGAAAACGCTGCGTTTAGGAATTGAAATTTGAAAAGCCAAATCCACCATCCACCACTTCCATATCCCATCCAAATCACCTTCAAATCCCATATATTTTTATAAGATTCCCACATTTTAATTTAAATATTCCTATACAGCACACGGGGACTTGCACCAAACCAAACTTCTTCTTCTTCTTCTTCTCTTCTTCTTCTGTATATTTATTTATTTGGTTAATTAAGGTTAGAGAGAGAGAGAGAGAGAGAGAGAGAGAGAGTTGGGTTGGTGTGCGTACGTGTGTATGTGTGGGACTGATCTTTTATACAAATTGAAACACTCTCTGTCTCTCTAGAAACTTTTGTTGGATTAGTTAAAAATTGAAAAAGAATCCTCTGAGATTTCTTGAAAAAAGTTTCAATAATGTATCACACTACTAACACTATGTATTCTGATGCCCCATATTATTCTCTACATATTTATCCGTTGACCACATAAAAATGACCTTTAAAGCAACAACTTTAGTATAATTATTGTCATTTAAACATTTATCTATCTCTCTGTGTGCAAACTCATAGAGATTGGTAGGTCCATGGTGGTCCTGAAAAAGGAGATATTTTATTTACTTCATTGTGTAACGAGTTAACATTACAATATATGTAACCACTTAACATTACAATACATATATATATATAACATTACAATACATATATATATATATATGTCGAGCAGGGTTACTATAGTGGTTGTGGTCCCCTTCCCCCTCTTGACACCTAAAATCGAAACTCCAAAATTTCTTTCCTCTCAATGTAACCCAAAAAAAACTTAGTGATATATATATATATATATATGGGACATTGCAACAACTTGTGTGGTTTGGTGAGTTATGCAGGGGGTGTGCTTATAAAATAATAATGCTTTAATTTGCTGGTGATGAGCCTGTTCTTAAATTAAGCTGCATGATTGAATTTGAGAGTAGTTAAAGAAACCTTGTAGATACCTAGATCTCTTATGTATATATATATATATATGCTAGCAATGCAGCCAATGCAGAGCTAAATTGAATTATATAATGCCCATGAATCAATGTTAAGCCTGGATGGGAGATTCTCTTATATCTTTTTAAGACTTTTGTGCAATACAAAGTGCAAGAAGGGTTCTAAAGGGATTTGTATATAAAATGAGCGAGGGTTATATTAAAATGTAGGCACAACTGGGAATTTGGGGACCTTGGAAACTACAAAGAGAGCTTCTCCCCCTCCTCCTCCTGACCCACATGTGGAGATGCTGCAGAATTCAACACTAGGCCTCTCTTCGCTTTTTAGATATGCAAAGTCTTGTAGGAAAATTCTTTTTTTTTTTTTTTTCTCTCTTAAAAGGGCCCCACTCATGACTTGGAAATGAAGCACAACATTAATGCAATTGTCCTCATTGTCTCCTCATCTCCTCTTTTCAAAACACCCAATCACAAAACCAACATCCCCAGTGCTCTTATGATCTATCTTGGATATCATTTCTGATCTTGTTTCATTTAATAATGCATAATTCTGATTACCCTAATCTTCAATTTTAAAACTCTACAATAATGCAATAGATATAAGCTTAGCCAAGTTGGATAAAGCAGATGTGCTCCCCACTCTACATTCGAGTTCGAACCCCTCTCCTTACAATTCAGATTAAAATTATAATAATGCACACTATCTACATCATCATTATATATATTTAGAAGGCCTTATTTTGCACTATTAATTCAAATTTTTTCCCTTG